TGAATCCGGAACCGCGAGTGACAAGTGTTCAAAGGAAAGCAATGAAGGAAAAGTTACTTTTTCTTTCCTCATGAAATAATAGTCTGTTTTTCCACTCAACTAACAAAAGTAAAGCAAAGGCACTAGGAGGAATTCTCGCACCAATTACAGGTAGAAAGCGTTTGGCATTAACGACGGAAACGAAGAAAAACGAAAACGAAAGCGGAAAAGAAGAGAGACTCAAGAAGTTCCGGGTCTAATTACTTCCCCATCAACCTTAGGGCACATCATTGGTTGGGGAATTTGGTCGAGTCTGTACGACTCATCGCCTTTATTTGGAGTTTGGTCTGACCTCCCCCTATGGCCCTCTGTCCCTCCTCATCGAGCTGTCGACGAGGTGGGGGGGGGGCGCTATATAGCATGTGAAACGGGAAAAGCCGTGAGGAAAATACTTTTTCCTTTTATCAATTCTCAAATTTTTCCCAACTTCCTGCCGCTTTTTCCAAAATTTCCCTGGAACTTTCCTACTTTTTCCCAACTTCCTGCCGCTTTTTCCAAAATTTCCCAGAAATTTCCCTACTTTTCCCTGAGAATTTTGCTGTCGAGGGCGGGAGGGGGGGGGTTGGCGAGGGAAGGGGTATAAACATGAAACAGGAAAAAACGGTAAGTCAACCACCTTTCCCGGAAATCCACAAAGTAAATACGATCCCCTTTCACAACGTCCATGAAGCGAGAAAATCAACTATCAAAATAAATTTTTCTCAGCCCAAATACGACCCCCTCTCCTGGCGACCAAATATGACCCTCCTGTTGAGAATTCCACAACAACGATGTGCCCTAATCAACCTAATATGCAAATATGGAACGAAGCATTTGACGCACCTGTATGGAGGCAAGAAGGCAACAGTGATGACGCTCATGAAAAGAGGTCGATGGAACTGAATGATGAACTCGATCATTTCGCATATGGACATTACGACCTTTGTCGTCGGATCAGCGTTGCCATTGAACGCAATTAACCAAGCAAAATCGTTCACTAAATGAAAAAATAGGAATAAGTTGTATCTACATCTCCAACATGCTTGCTATGCCTACGCTGAGCCACACACAGAAACTGGTGCAGGAGGCTATCTGCGCTGTGCTGGCACCGTAAAATATGTATGTAAGCAATTTAACGTGGAAGTGTTGCAGTACGTCGAATCAAATGGCCAGGAATACCGGCAGTTTTTAGGTCGATGTAGTCCTCAACCCCATTTCCCTTTGCTCCGAATAACAAAGTACAATGAATGAATGCAACATTATTTCACAGGTTGAAGGCCAGCTGCTACACTGACTTTTATGGATCCTAGTACTTGTCATGAATGGGTCTGCAGCTGCAGTAACTGTCACCTCTGGTGCTCAAAAAAGCACGGGAGCGGAGATACAGTGAGCTGATACGCGAGTGCCGTCTCCATACCTCACCCCACCCCTGCTATTCCCCATGTGCAGCACTTGCGTCGATAGCAAAATTCCGCAGCGAAGATGCAGCCAGAGGTGCAGAACAACCAGAAATGGGGGGAAGGCGCAGACAAGTGGTGCGTCCGGCACAGTTAGCATGGTGGCGCCGGTCGTAGCGTTGCGCGAGCAGAGTCCGAAAGGTGTCTCATCGTACTAACATGTTGTCCATGCCCGTGTAATGTTCCGGTATGAAAAGTGACATGCCATGCAACGGCGATCCAATGCACTGCAATTACCGTTCACGACGGATAAATGTACAGTTCTCCTTTGGAAAATTCGTAAAATAGATTGAAAATAGCAGCCACGAATTCACTTATTATGCGATTGAGCCGATGATGGAAGTCAAAGGCAGATCTTTCGATGAGCCATGGAGAGAACTCGTAGTTAGCGGGACTTCAATAACGATGCAAGAACGCGTATAGTCTTAAACTCTACACCCAAAACCACAAAATAAATTCGCCAAACCTCTGAGAGATTGTTTAATATACTGTGGCCTTACGAGTTTGTTTAGGTGGGACACTTTTATAAATAATGGCGCTACCGGTTTCGACTGCAAATCGGTCGTCTTCAAGAGGCAGTGTTCGCGTTTGAGCGGATATGTCCGCGGCACACTAGAGCGCTGTCAGTAAGAAAAATGGAGAACTATTCTAGATATTATATTATATAGAATATTAAAAGTATTCTCCATTTTTCTACTGACAGGCTCTAGTGTTTTCGGGCGGACCGTATCCGCTCAAGCGTGGTAGCAACTGCCTCTGAGACGAAGATTAAGTCGAAAAACGGTAGGCCATTGTTAAAAAAGAGTTCCACCTAACCACCTCGTAAGGCACGAACACTCACTACTAACATGCCGAGGTTGCAAGAAGGGAGAAGCTGGAGAATCTGAGGAGATTATTCGTCACTCTACCGCGAGTACGACACCCGTTTTGGAGCTGCTACCGGGCGCCCACCACCTTTTCCATCAAAATCTATGTGGTCTTCTGTAATATGGCGTCCTATCTACGAACATAACATTCATTTCCTAATGTTCGCACTATTTGAGGTTCACTTATGGTTAAGGTTCGCATAATGTTTCACTATTAGGTTACCATTACACCACGACAGTAGTATTAAAATCCCATAGCAAACTTCACAAATAGCGATTGATGGCTACATCTTCAACTATTTTAGGCCCTTAGAACCTTAGCATACATCTTTGGCTACAACAAAACTTCTGCCATCCGAACATTTCCATTCACAGCATTCGCAGTTATTATCTGAAATCATCTCACCGAGAAATGGAATGAACGCAATATAAGGCAGAATCAGATATACAAGCGTCCATGCCAATCGACTTCGAGCGTCCCTAAACTGCATGTCGGTCGAATTCGCATGAGTGTACGGTAGTTCTCGACCCAGCAGCAGAAATGACTGAAAAGGGAAAATTTAGTACGTTCAGCAACGGATGGTGCTCTCGCCCGGTAAATGTGAGGTGTGGGTTCGAGCATCGCTGAGGTCATGACTTTTGCCCATAACTCAGCGCGTTTCGGACGCCTTCTTCATTTCCACAATTTTTATTTTGATTAATAAACCTACTAAAGGAAGTTAAATAAATTTTGTGGATTCACTCACTGTTAATATCTGTAAGTTGATGATGATGAATCCGATGATCATTACCACACGTGAGGAAATTGAAAGCACTCTCAATGCAACATCCGCGGTTCCATCAGAAATGTAGTAAACCACACACAGGAAGAATGGAATGATTTGCGCCACCGTACATATCATACTGAAACAGTATTAATACGTAATTTTGGTATGAGTCAGGTTCCACCAGATTTCATGCTTTTTAAGCTTTCTGACTCAAAGGCATCATAAGCGGTTACTGCGGTTACGTACTGCGGTTACGTAAACGGTTACTGCCAATGTCATTAGTGAAAGGGCTGTGAGAGGGCATTTGGCCACATCCTTACTCAGCCCTTCCACTAGTGACGTTGGCAGTAACCGTGCACCCTTGGATATCGTGCCCGCTGCCTCTGAAAATGAACTTAATTCTGGGCCCTGACGACATGACATCGGGTTCAGCTTTCCTCCCGAGTTTATAAATTTCAAACGTTTTTGGAATAAACCCAATTTTCCTGATCCAAACTCCGATGCATGATGCGCCCCAAATTGCTGTGCAAAGCTTAGGTTGAATTTCAATTCGAGAAAGAATGAAAGAAACCCTCAGGCAAAGCAATTATAGAACTTTCACAGCGAAGCTCAATCTTAGAACCTATGTACAAAACAGAGACTGCTCAGTAAGGAAACTGAGGAAAACTCACTGCAATGGAAAGGCTTTGATGCGTTCCTCAGCTTGATAGGCGAGCCGACAGCAGTACAACATTAATATCAACATTATCAAGATATTATAGTGAACGTAATCATAGATTACATACAGAAGGCTATGCGTCCATGCCAGAAATGTACTAAAAAAGTCATTTTAGTTCACTATAAGTCCACCTTTGGCTTGGAATGCGTGACTCGTTGTTGATCAACAAATCCTCCTGGTATGCGTCACCCATTCTGTCCCATTCAGGATCACAGCTCTTTACTGGATACGGCATGGTCCCTACAATGTCTATGAGAGTGGGTGGGTACGTGGGTGAAGGGGAGAGGGGGAGAGCGGAACAACCAATGTTTAGGTTGACCTATAAATGGCTCTTTTCTAGCACATAATTCGCGTGAAAGATGAAATGCTCCCGGTGTGTATTCTACCCAATGCACTGCAATTCAATGTAGGAACTTTCAAAGTTGAGTATGCATGAATTCGACGAGAGGCCTGTAGATGAGGAACCCAAGAGCACCATTTTTCCAACCTTTCCTTTCAAGTGAAGCGCGGAGGCTTTCCATGATCTCTGCTGTTTCCCTAGCTGGCTAGCCTAAGTCTACAAGAGTAAGCTGATTCAGCAGCTCCGCACTGAGCGGAACAGGGAGTGCCGGGCGACGCTTACCTTCGAAATCATATGTCAATTCTCTAAAATGCTTTCGAAATTTCCTAAACGCAATTTTTTTCCTGACTCTTGGTCACCAGGTTTACAGCTGAAGTTCCGCGACTCTATAATATGCTCAAGGAAGAGGGGTTTCGCTCATGTGGGCAGCTTGACAGTTCGCTTTAATCCCCAACAAATCATTGAAGGTGAACTACTTGTGAAACGTACTTACATTGCATCATAGGCCGAGTTTTGTCCTACCAAAAAGCTGTACAATGCAATGACAGAAGGCTTCATCGTAAACGCAAATCATTACTTGGAAAATACTACGCCATTACTCGTAGAAGACCCCGTACAGCACGGTGTTCACCTCCCTACACACGAATGTTTTGTGTCTTTACAGGCTAGCTTGGCCCGGAATGCGTAATTGATCGG